TGCACATAGGATCATGGCCCCAGAGCCTTGAGAAGTGAGCACAGTTTTATCCATAGATAACTCTGGGAAGATGTTAATGTTTCAGAGTATATTGCTCAGGTGTAAATAGTTCAGAGTAACTGAAGGCAGTTGCTCAAGCTTTCCTTTCTCCTAGATAAGTTTTTTATTTCTTAAGCTTATGAGAGAGAGTCCAGCTTGCTCTGTGATTACTCTGTGAAAGAGGGCCAGTGTCCTCAAAAGACCAGACAATAGCATGACACTTAGTATTTTGTCACGGAAGTGGGAGATGCGACTATAAATCCTTCTGAAAGTTTAATCCAGGTTTTCCATATCCATGGCAGATGTTTTAATCTCCATCAGTGAAGTGTTTTTAAAAATAACATGGTGGTTTTGATAAAGAGTGGAAAAAACCTGAGAACATCTTTTGGATACTTGTGCCTCAGATTTAAATTGATAAAACACAAGGTTGTATAGGACAGCTCTCACCACAGTAATTTCATTAGGACCAGGCATTGCTTGCTTGGTTCAGGAGGAGAATTTTAGCTGTTAAAATTAGCTAAAATTTTAGTTGGTGTTATTAAACTGTTAAAAGACATACAGACGCTTAGAAATTTGGGTGTATATATATAAAATGGGTATTTTAAAAATTACCCCTTTTCTTATGGACTCAAAAGACCCTGTTACTTGCATTGGTAAATCATAGATTGAGAGTCCTAGCTTGTTTACATTTCTGAGGTTTAGGCCTTTAGGAAAACCCCACTCTGTAATGCCCTCAGCACCCTCCCGAAAAACAACCGCAGTCTTACACAAGAGTTAAGCACAGTCTAGCAGCAAACAGACCTGAAGGACAAATAACTTTGTACCAAGTTCTTGAAACAATGGTCTAGCAATGTATATTAAGAGTGAGATTAACAATAAGCTTCTGTTCCCCATTTCCTGAAAAGGCCTTCTCATATTTATTTTCCTGTTCATTTTTAACTGTTTGCGCTTGGAACAGAGGAAGTTGGTTTTACCAGCAAAATAGGCAGGCATATTACCCTGTTGATCCAGTTTCAGAATGATAGCTACAGTGGCTGCAGTAATTTTTCACTTCATTATGACAGCAGTTACATGGTTTGCATCCAGTTATATGGAATTAGCTAAAGTATTGGAATTGGTTCTAACAGATGACTAAGAGCCTTTAAATATTTAGATAATATGCTTTCAATACTTGGAGAGCTTTGAATGCCTGTGATTTCACTTAAAAGTTGACAGTATCCTTACATTTTAATGTAGTTATTTGGTGCTGATTTAAAGGTACAATAATAATATTTTTTAGTGGATTCTATGTGGTATAATGGTGTTATTAAACATACTAAAAATTATAACATAGCTCCTTATTATAACTGTAAAATGTCTTACAAAAAAATGGCTGGGGTTTCAGTCTAACATAAATCTAAAGTCAAAAATGAGAACTCAATATTGCTAAAGACATTTGGTGTCTTAAAGAGAATGCAGGTCTGCTGTTCTGCAGAACTACAGCAGAGTCAACTCTTCATCAAACATATGCCATTTCCCAGACCAGTTAATGTTAATAACATGAGAGTGTGGTTCTTTGTACTTGCTGTCTTGATCCATGTCTTTCAAATGCATGAGTTATCTGTAGAACACTTCTGTGACAAATTCAGAAGGCTGCTTTGATGCTTTTTTGTGTATAGGCATCCCTGGTACTAAGTTCAGTTAACACATGTTCATACATTTTTACTTACATCATGTTATACAGGATTAACCACAAATAATATTGTATATGACCTCTGCGTAGCAAGGTATTCCATCCTGTCCAGGAGCATGGCCACCATTCTTCATAGCTCCATTGCTCTTCAGCAGTGGAGGCTACTGAAAACACACATGACATTGGAAAAAAAGTCTTACTTGTAGGATCCTTCAAGTTCCTATATGTCTAAAACACTTTCGAGGCTAGGTGAAGTCCAGGATAAAGTATGTGATCCAAAGCTTTCCTTCTGTAGATTTCCTCTTTCCCTGCACTCTAAAATATACTCATTTCAGAGATTGAGGTGATCAATTCTATGAATGCACACTCTTAAGTGAGACTTCTGATAGCAGAGTACATCCATTTTGTTTCCATTCTCGAACATTAAATTCACTTAATATTACCTGTCATAGTTTAGATGAAATTCAAATTGTATTTGGAAAAAAAAATGAGCAAATGAAAGAAATCATATTCATACTTGTCATTTCTTCCTGAGGCAGGTAACATGTAATTCATTTAGACACACTATCATACTACTCAAAGGTATTCCAGTAATTTTAAAGTATATTAATAGAACCTTGGATAGAATAATACAAGGAAAAGGAATCATTACACCAGCTCTGCAGTGTTCACCTGCATATCTTGATATGTACAGGGACACTTCTCAAAAGGATTATTCTCATTCAGCCGTTCCATATGAAGCTTCAGTGAATCAATTGTTGGAAAGGCTAGGCTCAGAAAAATCAAGATTTCCTGTATGTGAATCTGTGCAGTGAACTGTGTATGCAAATTTTGTCTCTCAGTATTTCAAATCATCTTCTGGATCTCTTACTTATCAAGATTCTTTCCTCTGGTTTATGAAAATCTCTGTAGTGTCTGTCCTGTAGTATCTGGCTACGGAGCTCCTGGAGACTTGCACCAAGTATCTACATCATCAGTGTGAACTGTACATTTCTTAGTCATGTTTGAGTTCTTAAGTATTAAAAATTGATTAAATCACACTGGAGTGGGTCACTAAAGAAATTAAATTCTTAATTATAGTATTATATATACATACACATGTATCTTTGAGACCTAGATCATATATGTGATATTTCTGACATCTCATATTTCCTGTGGATAAAGATGATCTGATTTGTATGCAGTAGCTAAAGCACCTTAGTATATATCAAAGCAGTGCTTATGTCATGTTTAGTAAATCCTATAAATACTAGCAGGTAAACTGTCATTTATTTACACAAATACAGTTGCAGAGAGTGTGTGAAGAAACAAGGTACCAAGACAGGTTAAGTGCTGATGGTGACTCAGCTAAGGGCAAATCTGTCTTCTGAGAAAATGCCTCTAAAAAGAAATGCTGAGCTGCTAAGTCTTGTGTATTAAATTGTATCAGTAGTAAATTGGTACTGCTAATAATGACTTTAACACATACTTCTAGTTTTGTGCTTGTGTAGTATTAGTATTCAGCATGTGGATATTTATTGATTTAGCTTGTAACCACCAGATGACAGCATAATGGATGGCAAGGTAATGTAGAATCTGACGCTAGTGGTCTGGTAGATACAGGTCTTGTATTTATTTACAAACTATACTTCATGTTCCACTTGACCATTACAGCTCACAAGCTGGCTATAACTCACACATTATCTGAAATTTAAGTTATTGGAGCTTTGTTCATGAATCTCACATATAAACTGAGCTTTTTATCTTTGCTGGACTAGTTTTGTGGTAAAATGATGGTCTTAAACTAGACATCAAGAATGAAGTAGCAATAATGATTAATTTAACATGTTGGTATTTAGAGTTTGTGGGTTTTGGTGTAGCTTCTTTTAACTGCTGTAACACTAAAAATAGCTGAGATCAAATAGAAAGGATGCTTTTGAGCTAACACAGAATTTGTGCTGTATTTTTACATTTAGCATTTTTTTCATTATTGTTCAAAGTGTTCTATAGCTAATGATTTTTATGCAAGTCTTCAGGAGAAAATGTACTTTTCATGTTTGTATATAACAACAAGCAATGCTTTACTTAACAGTTTACTAAATAGCTTGTGTCTGGCATCCTGTTTCATGTGTCCATATAACTTCCAAACAGCTGCTTTTCATTAATAAATCAGAAAATAAGGTGTCCCATGGTGTTCTAAAATGTTATCAAATGAATATGCTTAAGTAGTCATGACTGGTAATTTAGCAGATATTGAAACATGTTGCAATCTTACCACACCAGCCTGTTTTAGATTTTGAGTTGTGAGAGTAACTGTAAGCCTCATAACTTTTTCCTTGAACAAAATTAAAAATTTTCAGTGGCAGTACCTAACAGTGTGATGATGCTTGAGAACTTTTTTTCTGAGGAAGCAAAACCAAGAATTGCTGAAATATATAGAGGGAAGTTATAGAAGCATATGATGGGAGCTTTCTCCTCTACCAGAAGAGGCTGAAAAAAATAAAAATGATAAAATTTTTCACCGAATCAGTTTATGTGTTTTCTTAAACTTCAAAGTAATTAGCTTTTATGTATCCGTGAAGATGTTCAGGGTCTTTCCTTAGAGTCATTAAATTGTATTTATACTTTCTGTTTCCCAGTATGGAAGGGTAAGTTGGGTGGTTGGCAACATGAATACAGGAAGGTATTTATCATGTCACCGAATGGCCCTGATAAAAAAAAAAAAAAGGAATGCCAGCAGGTTCGGGTCACTAGGCTTCCAGAATAGTACTGTTGCTGAAACTGTAAACTTGAGATGTAGACTAAAAACAAACTACTGGCTTCAATGTTGGTATACTGGTTTGTCCTGTCCTTGGATATGTATACCAGTCAGATGTGATGGACTTTAATGCAAATAGAACTGCTCCCATCTCAGATAAAACCTTGTATGGAGAAGGCAAAACATTTTCAGAGGTAACCAAACTCAAAAGATGTTCTTCACATTAAAAAAAATCCATGGTAGCTCATTGTCTGAGCTCAAAGTTACAATCTTCAATGTCCCTGATTTAATTTTAACAGTAGTTTGGTTTGGTTTTTTCATGAACAGTGGTTGTTCTCTGCTCCTTCTGTTTCTTTAAATAAAAAATTGGACAATGAACAAAGTTTTTTTGCTATGGATTTCCTGATTTTTTTTTAGCTTGGGTTGGGAGGCTGTTCTGTATTACATTTTCATTTCGATAGTAGGCAAGCCTATTACTGCTGAAAATAACTCAAATGTTCTTAGGAAAAAAAAAAGCCAGCAGCTTAGACTCTTTCTCTTTTTCTTTTGCAGACTCTTGCATATGAGTTAAATTAATTTCTTGAGAGAAACCTTCATGAAGGGCTAAATAAACAAGGTCTACATATACAGAAGTTTCTTACTTCTGCTGCATTTGAGACTCAGCTAAACTTGTCTGATTGGTAAGTCATACTTTTCTTAAGGATTTGTCTTTCTTCCTGCCCTTATGACTTGCATTTCTGAGTTTCTAATTAGTGTTCAGAGAAAACCAGCTTTGGCTTGCTGGTAGTACTGGTGCATTCTGTATATGAAGTACAGAGATCAATCTGCAAGGCATTACTGTGCTGCTTTTACAAACTTCAGAACAGTATCTATGATTCTGTATGCCACTTTGGAATACATGGGATTTAATAATTTCTCTAGTATTTTGTTCTAATTTTCCTGTTATAAAGGCATTAAATGTTTTAAAGCAAAGTGGTGATCGTTCTGTCTTGGATTTACCTGTTTGAATGTTCTGTATTTAATAAACTAACTTAAGAATGTGTATTGCAAAGTATATTCAGTGTCAAGACAGAGTTTAAAAATAAACTTTCCCAACATTCATTCATGTCTCATTGATTTTTGGCTTCACCTCTTCTAGATAAAATTGGTTGATGTTATTAAATACAATGCTTCATTTTTTTCTTGGTGATGTGCCTATTTAATGGGACAGTAAGCATACTTATCACTAGTCTTTAATTGATCATATAATTCAGTAAAAGTTCTTTTAAGGGTATTTATGTCTTATAGTTTCTTTGGGTTTTGATTGTACAACTTGAAACATTTTTTTCCTTTGAATATGAGGTATTAACTGAGTTTGACCCAAACAAAGGCAAGTTTGTCCTTTACCTTCTATTTTTATTCTTTATTGCAATAAAATGAAGGAAGTCTTGGAAGAGCAGAAAATGTTTTGCTATGTGCTGAGGTTTTTCTAAGCAGTTGGCTGGCATTAGATGGCACCCTATATATACCCAGTCCATCTGATCACTTATGCTGCAATGCTTTGGCTTACCACAATTACTGTGTACTTACATACTGCATGCCCTAGTTCTGCACAGCTCATTTTGCAGCCTTTGCTATAGCCCTGACATCAGTTTATTTCAAAAAATAACTTGAAAACTCAATTTTCTATTTAAAAAAAGTGTTACAGTTAATGTAAAGCAATAGTTTTCTTTTCATAGGAAAAAAAAAAAAAAACCCAAACAAAGCAGATCAACACTCATACATAGAACTGTTTGGAGGCTTTCCAATTAATTTAAGTTTTAGTAAGAAGCTTTCTATGTTATTTTTGGATAAAAAGAGAAAAGCGGAAATGGATGTCTAGATTCATAAAAAATATCTTAGTTGTCTTACATTGATGGTTTTCATATAAAAATAATTTGTCACCTGAGAATTACTTCTTAAAAAGCTGAAGCTTTTGAAGGAACTTAAGACACCTCTGAGGCCATGCTGCAATTACTCTTTAAGCAATTTAGAAATGTGTGATCCCTTAACATGTCCAAAAATATAGCTGGAGGAGAAATTACACATAAATAGGCTGTATAATAGACAAAAATATGTACCAATTATTTTCAATTAAAAACAGTGCTTGCACTGTTCAAGGTAAGGGCCAATGATGGTCTATTAATGACCATTTCTTAATTCATGTAAGTTTGGATTTGCTATATATTTTGCATGTAATTTTTGAGTGAATAACAGGGCTGACTTAGAGGAACTTGTATCTGGCATGCTAACACAACCCAAACTTTAGCTGAGTGAACTCGGCACAGAATTCAGCATGAGAGAGAAAAATCTCAGCAGAGCAATGGAATTCCTTTCCTTGAATAAGTATACCTTAGCATTCATGGGGAACAAATGGTAACATTTTGTGCAAGTTTCTGCTTTTCACAGTGTGTCTTTGTTCACTTCCCAAAAGGGGTGTCAAATACATTGGAAAAAAAAAACAAAAACAACTTCTTATTTGAATTTTTCATTTTACTTAATTATATAGTCCCAAGGAATCCATTAAATCTGGGATGGCCTAACACCATTGTTTATAACTTTTTATGTATGTAGAAAAAAGGCTTAGTTAGAACAGTTTGGTTACACAACTGTGTTCCCTCCACAGTGTTTTTGTGATCTCAGATAGAAGGGTAGGAGGCAGGTGTATCTGTCGGCATTTTGTGATGGAATTATTTTTTCAAAGTATCTCAGAAAATGTTTTCTTTTTGCCAGCATAAGTGTTATCCAAACAAAATATGATATTACTGAACTGTTACCTTGAGAAACAAAAGATCATGATAACTTAGATTTCTTGTTAAAAGCTTTGTACTGAGAAAGACCTTAGCTTAATGTGCTGTTTAGTCATGATGTTACTTCCATGATGTGGTCTTCTGTTCATTTACTGATGACAGTGAAGTTTTATGGGAATTGTTCTGTATGGGATTCTCATCTATGATCTAAGCAGATCATAGTAATATGGTGAAACTGCATGAATTTAATATATGACAATGCTGGAGAAGAAAAAGGTGTTTTGAAACCTTGAAATCAAGACCTAGTGATAGAGTAAATAAATCTGAGTAAAAGGCCATCATGCAGCTGTTTCTTCCTCACATTAACTGCAGGCTGGGGATATACCAAAATGGAGATGCTGAGAACATTGTTATGTGAGACCTATGAGTTGTGTCTGCACTGGACTACCTGGCCATGTGGTATTTTTAGAAAGCAGAATATAGCTCTGGAGAAAGTTTGTGATATGATTCTGTATGTAACCAGCTGCTATAGAGGGTTTCAATTTTTATGGCATCCTGGTTATCTCGTGTCTACAGTAGTGCAAAATTGCAATGCCACTTTGTTGGCTTTGGAGCTTAGGATGTGCTTAACCTTTTGATTGATCCAAATGAAACAGGAGCTGGCAGGATTCCCAGCTTCTCACAGTAGCCTCTGCTCATCACCATTAATCTGTGGTTTGGGGGAAGAGAGTAAAATTAATCACTTTATAAATATTCAAGTACAGCAGTCAGCATCTTTTGTAAGAATTAATAATTTTAACTATAACATCTAAGGTTTTGGTTGCTTAACTTTTTTAAGAAAACCACTCTGTTTTAGATAAACATTTTCCATGTTCTACAACTTCAGCAGTATTAATTTTCCATTAAAAAGAAAAAGTAATATTTGCAAGTGAAAAGCAGGTACTTTTGCATATGAAACAATGAATAATTTTCACTTCTGCCCCAAGCCTTAAGTTTAATTTGATTCTAATTTTTGTATAAGTTTGAAAAGCACTGATTTAGGACTAAAGTTGCATATACATGGCAGAGAATTTACCTTTTTAGCCACAGAACCACAGAATGGGTAAGGTTGGAAGGAAGCACAGTGAGGTCATCTAATCCAAAATTTCTCCATTTGTGTGCTTGTACTTTATTGAGAAAAGCATGCTTTTAAGCACTTTCTCTTCCTAAGTAATCTAATAAGTATGCTTTAATCTGTTTTCAAGGAGGCTCACATAAAGCATTATCTGTTTATACTTGTAAGACTGCATTTGTCTCCATAATATTAGTGTCTTAAGAATTGGTATGTTACCTTAGTGATTTATGCCCCTGAACATTTAATGCTGTTAGAATGTTTAATGCTGTGTCATCTTTAGTGGTGGACATGACTTGGCCTAGGCTCCTTCCACACTCTAGACTGCTAATGATTTGTTTCCCAGAAAGGTTCCCTGTAACAATCATTTAGTACAAAGGCATTTAGAAAGGAACTGTGCTGGTGCAAAGGAGACTGTTAGCATGTGTATCTTCAGTAATCTGTAAAAACAACAGGTGGAAAATACAGCAGCAGCTCCAACCTTTTGAAGTTGAAAGTCCAGGCACCAAGTTCCTGTGTGTGAGTAGCCTCTCAACTTTGAACCTGCTCCTTGAGGCACCTGCATAGGATTCATTTACTTGTGTGATTTATCTTGATAGATCTAGTGAGCTAAGACATGAGGTGCAGGAGACCTGTGTGTGTGACCCTGAATCTCTGTAAGGCCCCTGGACCTTCTGGAAAGCAGTGGATTTCTTCTCCAAAGTCAAAAAAGGTTGAAATAAGAACAGAGATAATCACTTTTATATAGCTAATAATGTACTAGTGTCTTATTTGATTCCTGGGAGGGAAGGAAGCAGAGGAGGTACAAATGGGAAGGTAAGCTATGTTGTTCATGTAAAGGGACAGATCATTTGGAGAATGAGTTTCTGTCTTGATAAGATTTAGTCTTTCAGAACAGTCAGGTTCTGACCAGTGCATAGAATATTTCAAGATTTTTCATAGCCTTCAACATATCAAATTAGCTAGTTAATCTTTCCACAGTCAAATAAAGGCACTTGGAACTTGCTCTTAGAGGTCTGTTGGATCTCCAAATGTGTAAAATCATCTTTTGCTTCCTACTTCCCTTCTGGGTCCTGCACAGAGCTTTCCAGTGCTGAAAAAGGAAGCTGATGGCTGATTTTAGGAATGTTACAGCTCAGGCCCAAAGTAATAGTTTAAAAGTGAGAATAAAACTCATGTAAAACTTGGGTAAAAGCAAGGATATGAATTTAGATGTTAAAAGCAAGGATATGAATTTAGATGTTATGGCTTAAAGTCCAGAGACATTCTAATGTACTGAGAGATTCTGCTTTTTCCTGTGACAGAAACAGTGTTTAAATATTATCTTACACTTCTGTAAGCAGAATTAAGCTAGGGTCGAAAGTTTTTGAGAAATCTTCCTTAAAGTGTGTCTATACTTCAAAGCAGGAAGATTCCTAAATCCCTACCTGTAATACAACAGCTGGATGTTAAAAGCTGTATCACTGCCTCTTATTGATACTTCAATAATATGTTCACACAAAACATTTTGCAGTAATGGCTTTGCATTAAAGGAAAGATTCTTTATTAAAATTGAGCAGGTGTACAGTTTAATCTACTCTTTGAACTGGAATTCAATTTTGACTTGAAGGCCAAATTTCTGAAAAGTGCTATTATCAAATACTCTTCTTAAAAACAAATCCAAGACCAACCAAACTAACAAAACCCCAAAGTTTTAGATTTAAAAGGCTGAAAAGCATAACTAGACAAATATCTGAATTCCTAAAAGTCATAAAGATGTATTGCAAATGGGCTGTCTGAATTATTTTGAACTTTAAGTCCT